TACAGACATGTAAGCAATATTATGTGGCTGATGAAAAACAAAAGGTGGTTATTTTTGTTAAATTAGCACATCACGTTCCCAAAGAAAGGTTATAAAAGCTATTATGAAATCAATGTAAAAAACCAGAGCTGTAATCACATTTTAACCAATTTGTTCTGAAGATATTTTAAAACTGTCAAATAAATCACAGTAAATTCTCTTGCCAATTAACCCCCTGAGCTACTACATTAAGCTAATTGAGCTGCAGATCAAAGCATTTAAAGGTAAAGAGAGAAGAGTAGACTTCAGTAATTCAAAATAAAGACGAGTTTACCTAAACAGCCTGAGATGATCAGCCAGCTCTGGAATGTCTGTAATGTCTTCCTGGAGGCGAGACAAACAACTGTCAGTTATCTTCCATCTCCTCATTACAACGTTAAAGCATGCAGTCAAGTCTACTATACAGCTTAAAATGAAGAGTTCTGATGAAAAAAGACCAGCACAAAATAAAACAAAGTTTTCAGTTCGCTTTAAATGTCTATTTACCAGAAGTCTGTCTGTGTGCCCGACTTCAAGAGTCACCTCCAGGTTAGACAGGGCAGCCTCCACTTCATCGATTTCTTGTTCGTTGGAGTGGTCCAGCGGCTCACTCGACATGGTCAGTTTGCAAATGTGATACTGGGAGAGAAATTAGTTTTGAGTAGAGAACTACAGCAGACACCAAACTACACATTGCACAAACACTAAAGCCATGCTGCCAAGAAATTCTTTAACTTGATTTAAGTATTTCTGAAATCAGGCTGAGTCAGAAGGTTGTGAACAGCCCTCTGTGCCAGCTGTTGCATTAATGTGTAGGTGACCACAACACTCCCTTTGAATCATTAGGATTTTTGAATCACCCAAAATGAATCATTAGGATTTCTGAATAAACCAAAATAAAAGCTGAGGCTGGGCTGAGATTTACACACAAAGAAAATTTCATCTAAAACCTTTGGTAATCATGCCATCCTTCAAGAATTTTTGTCAGGGAGCTACAATTCTTGCTGTACTAGCTTTAAATCTTCCTTCTCCTGTCTTTTCTGCTGCCTCCAGTGGGATTTTTCTCATGTCCTGACACGTCCTTCCATGGATTTAGATACAAACCTACTTTTCTCTATTCTGAACCCATAAACACACAGAAGACCACACTCAAATCAAATAGGAAAACAATTTGAAGATAAAATAGAAGGAAGGACTGCTGGGACCGACTTCCTGTTTGAAAACAACATCCCTTTGGTTTTGTCGGCGTTTAGTACAAGTTTGAGACGGAACAAATCTGAGTGGATGATGTCAAAAGCAGACTGCAAAAGCTGAAAAACCTTAGCAACAGTTTTTGCTCGACAATAAACAACTGTATCATCAGCATAGAAATGTAAGGATGCATCAGGGATGCTCTGACCTACATTAACTGTGTAGATTGTGAAGAGGGTGGGTCCTAAGACTGAGCCTTGTGGTACACCATTGTTAACAGTTAGATAACCGGAAGAAGTACCAAACCAAAGAGACCATTTCTCAGAATAACTAACTTTATTTTAAAGTCACTACATTGGCTAAAACCAGAACATTTGACAACTTAAGATACGTTTGCTTTTAAATCTGTGATATTGTCTGGTTCACCTGCAGCGAAGCAAACATCAGCATTTCCTCGTCCGTGCAGTCTATCTCCTCCAGCAGGATGGCCCACCGCGCCTGTTCGTAGAGCTGTGTTATTCTTACCCCGTCATACTGAAACATAAAAAAAAAAAAAAACATGCAAACTCAGGTTTCCATCTTCAAACAAAAAACGCTCCCTTTCTATTTCAGTAAGTATAACAAAAAAATAACAAAAAACTTACTTTGGGGTTGAGATCAAAGAAGACGTTGTACTTGAAGCGAAGCAGCAGTTTGTCATCATCTTGAATGTCTTGTTCCATGAGAGAACATGACGAGTCCAGCCACCTGTCAATCATAAGAACTGATCAGACAAATGATAGACAAAAATACCTTTAAATTCAGCTAAATGTTTTTTTCTGATTATACCCTGCACTGTTGATTGCTTTGTCCACAAGGGACAGTGGCTGGTATATCTTGGCGAGATCGGCGGGAGGCAGGTTCGGCTGACACTCAGCTAAAGGGTTTTCTCCAAACCAAATGCTGGTGGCAGACATCGGCATCCCATTCTCTGGGTCATAGGTTGCTGTCATGGTCTTACCATACATGGAACCTTGTTTGGAGACAATTATATTTACTTTACAATATGCTTTAGTAAAACGCTACAATTCAACATGACTCTGTCGCACATTAAGTTTTACGTATACTGTAGTTCAGCCACCTGTCAAAGGTCAAGTGGGAACAACTTAAATCAGAACAATAAACAAAATGAAGAATGAACACTGAAAATAAAAGCTTATTAGCAAATCAAAATAAGTAATGATGACACATTTGAGATGTCAGAAATTTAAAAGTATGACACATAAGCTTGTTGCAGAACGTTTACTGAGTTTTCAGCATTGTTAAATGTGAGTGATACTTTCAGGTCTTGCTGATGAAATCTGTGCCAGGTCAGATTCTAAGAGAATAAACAGTAGTATGCCAAAGTTTTTCTTAACTGCAGGCAAAAATGAAGACATTCTTACCATATTAAGAAGACATACTAATTAGACACACTAATTGATTTAAGTATTTCTGTATGCACTTGTGTCAAAGTAGAAAGAGGTTGTCTTAAGCAGATTATACCAACCAGACTACCGGCCAGTAGCCTTCACCCCGATAGTTGCCAAATGCTTTGAAAGTCTGGTCATGACTCGCATCAAAGCTACCATCAACATCAGCGAGGACCCTCACCAGTATGCATACCACAAGAATCATTCAACAGAGGACGCCATCTCCTCTGTGGTCCACACTGCTCCCAACTACCTGGAGCAGAAGGACTCCTACATCCGTATGCTCTTTGTGAACTTCACATCCACCTTCAACACCATGATTCCCCAGACCCTGATGAACAAACTACTCACACTAGGATTAAGCCCTTCCCTATGCAACTGGGTCCTGGATTTCTTAACCAACAGACCGTAGTCTGTGAGGATCCATAACTTCTCCTCATCCAACATAACCCTCAGCACTGGCTCCCCTCAGGGCTGTGTGCTGAGCACCATTCTGTTCACTCTGCTCACATATGACTGCACACCTACCCATCCAGGCTGTCATATTGTAACGTTTGCAGATGATTCAGCGATGGTTGGATGCGTCACAATGATGAGTCCAGCTACAGGCAGGAGGTGGAACACCTGGAGAGCTGGTGCAGTAAGAACAACCTCCATATCAATGTGAAGAAGATGAAGAAGATGATTGTGGATTTCAGAAGGAGCAAACATACCTAACCCCTCCCATCATCATCACCACCTGACAAAAAATGCACACCCAAGTACTTATAGCTGTCTCTAGCTACAAGCTGGAGCAACAACACCACCAGCCTGATCAAGAAGGCTCATTCGAGACTCTACTTCCTCAGGCAGCTGATGTGAGCTGGTCTAGGAAGCTCAGTCTTCACCTCCTTCTACAGGTGTGCAGTGGAGAGCATCCTGTGCTCCAGCATCAATGTGTGGCATGGAGGCTGCACAGCTGCAGAAAGAAAAGCTTTGCAGAGAGTGGTGAAGGCTGCACAGAAGTCTGTTGGAGTCAGCCTCCCCACCATCACAGACATCTACACCTTTAGATGCAGGAAGAGACCCATCATGAAGGACCCCACTCACCCAGCACACACACTTTTTGCCCCGCTCCCCTCAGGCAGGAGGTTG